ACAAAAGAAAATAAACTAAAGTAATCTTAGCTGCAAACAAAACTTAATTAAGGGTTAAATATTCTAATCGACCTTTTACTTTATAAAGGTCTTTACAAACAAACAAAAAAAAAGAAAAAAATTTATTATTAAAATAAATATTTCAACTCTGAAAGAATCGCGAGAATCTTAAATTGAGACAAAGAAGTCGATATAATCGTGTAATGATTACATCTATACTTTATGTATCAATGAGTGTCTGTAGGATCCGTTCTGCAAACTAATTTTTGCAGAACGAGAATAAAACCCAGATCCTCAGACGAGCAATTTTGAGAAGCGAGAAATTAGCTTTGTAAAAGCACTTTTTTTCTCACTAAAGTTTTGCTGCGTAGCAGCGCGAGAGATGCTCACTAGAGCCTTGCTGCATAGCGGCACGAAAGTTACTCACGAGAGTCTTGCCGCGTAGCAGCACGAGTGCAGAAAGAGATCTTTGCTGTGTAACAGCACGAGTGATCCTCACTAGAGATTTGCTGCGTAGCAGCACGTTACATCGAGAGAAACTTCTGCTTGTCTTTGAATGAAGCCCCTTTTACGAGATACGAGTCATGCTCGTATGAATCGAACTAGATTTCTTAATCGAGAACTCGTCGGTCCGTCAATCCTTGAGATAGAGTATAGAGATACACGTTTTGTTTCGTATCAAAACCACTTATTTTATTCGTATCGAAACCACTGACTAATCGTCGCGAAAGAAGAAAGCATACTACTGTGTAGCCCCCTACTGTGGCGAATGCTAGGTAGGAAAATGCAGGGGCGCATTGTAATAATCTTCGAGTCATGCATTTGAAAGCGTTAACTTTAAACACCCTTCCTATTGATTAGTTCCGGACACTTTTTGCCAATTTCTATCTTTAATTGATCCAACTGCAAACAGTATTTGTTTGAATTGATCGTTTCGTTGTCTGGTAGTAACTCATAATGTACTATTCCCTTCCAATTCCACTAAATGCAGAGCATAACCTTCTTTGGATGTAAACCGGGCTTCGAAGTTGTTAATGCCGGTTCATTTCGCTTGCTCCGCGACCTTTTCCGCACGACGTTGTTATAAATGATCCACTTCTCATCGCCTGTTACGATTCGTTTCAGAAATGGATGGTATTCGTTGCGTTTGTATAGCAAATGGCAGATGGAAATGCGATCAATACGATTTTTTTCAGTTAAAGCGTGCGGCACCCAAACATCGAGCTTTTTTACCATTTGAAGTTTGCTTAAATATTCGGAAACAGTTGACTTGCCAATTTTTAACCTCGCTGCAATCTCCCGAACTGTGATTTGCCGATCGGAATCGATTAAAGCTTTTATCTGGTCGATATCCGTGGTAACTGACCAGAACGAGAAGCATCTTCAATATTTATTTCTCCTAAACGAAATTTAGCAAACCACTTCTGGCACATGCGTTCGCTTACAGCATCCTCTCCGTACACGGCACATTTTTTTTTTTTGAGTTTGTGTCGCATTCTTGCCTTTACGAAAATAGAAAAGCAATGCACCGAAAAAACACGTTATTTCCTTCCACACTGAGAAAAAAGTACTTAAAAATTTATTTGTGAGACATAAATTTATTCCACTAAAATAAATTTTTTATTTAAATACGGCGAAATAAAGATTTATTTGTAGCAAATAACTCATTTATTTTATTTTTGAAATAAGTTTTATTAATTGCAAATAATTCTTTATTTCTTTGCTATAAGTATTTAATTGTCATTATTAAATTTGTTTCAGTCTTTATAAATCGATATATTTGTAACAAATAAATTATGTTTAGCGCAATAATAGCATTTATTTCTTTTTAAATTTATTTTATTTGAATTGAAAAATATTTTGTACTATTAAAATAAATATTTATTTGAATATATTTTAAAACATTTTTCTTATAGAAATTTAATATTGGAGATATTAAATTGATTAGCAATTAATTATTTATTTTGAGTATAAAAATATATCGTTATTAACAAAATAAATAATTAATCGCTAATCAGTTTAATACTTCCAATATTAAATTTCTATAAAGAAAATCATGTTATAAAATATATTGAAACAAATATTTCAATAATATATACAATGTTTTCAACATATGTAACATAATACACACATACATACACACACACAACGCGCTCACGTTATCAAAAGGATTGAGGCACGTTGAAAATAATAATGTAAAAACCTTAATTTAATTTGCATATATATATATATATATATATATTATTT